GTAATGGCCCCAGGCACGCGTGGACCCTGGCACGGGCGAAGTGGCCCGTGGGGGGGCCTGCACGAGTGCACGCGGGTAGCCGATGACCGCTGGGTGTACCCTGGCGTGGGGGGCGTGGCCGTAGCTGGAGGCGGCTGCTCCAGCCGCCGCGGGCCTGGCGCCAATGGGGCCACGGTAATAGGCGGCAACCCCGCCGTAGGCCGTGCTGCCGCCTGTCGGGACTCGCGCGGGAGAGCGGTAGCGTGGCGTGCTCGGCTGTCCTGCGTCGCGTTGGTCGCGCTGCTGAATGCGTTGCTGGTGCTGTTGATATCGCTGCTGGTCGGCTCTCGAGAGGGGGCGGGTGTCGGGGAGGATGGTGGGCACGTCGGGACGCTGCCAGCCCCGATAGACGTGCTCGAAGGCGTGGTCTGGGTAGGTCTCCCCTACGGGTGAGTATCGCCGCACATGCTCCATGTAGTCGATGTTCTGCGGCTCGGAGATCGCCGTGATGTTTACAGCTCGCTGGTGCGCTGGTCCTTAGAGGCAGAAACTACCACGGTTGCTGCGGTCGTGGTTTAGCTCGGCTTCGGTCGTGGCACGGCTCACCATGGCGTCGCAGAGTCGCATGTCATAGTCGAGAGCTTGAGGCCAGGACCACCCTCGGCGTCCCAGTACAGTACCACATCTCGCCAGCGGGTGCGGGTAGTGTGGATGCGCTCGGCGATCGACTCGCAGACGGTCCTGACCGTGACACGGTCCCTGTACAGGTTGGTGATGGCTAGGGAGTAGGGTCGGCGGACCGTCTTGTTGAAGGTGAATTCCTCCTTGAGGGCCTGGTGGGGGCCGAAGAGCACGTAGCCTTCCCTCAAGAGAGGTTGGTCGGGGGACGGTTCTTCGGGCATCCCCGTTCCTGTGAACCCAGGTGGCCGCCTCGTGCCGTCAGGCAGTCCCTGCCTGGGGACGCGCCGCGGCCTCGGTGGGAAGTACCATTGACCCTGGTAACCTGCTTGGCCTGGTTGTGGAGGTTCCCCCCCGGGGCCTGAAGGCGCTCGGGGGGGTTCCTTGAGGTCGTGGTGGGCTGGCGCGTTGCCGTATTGGCGGGCAATGATGTGCGGCGGCATCCCTGTGGCACGGACGTCGAGCAGGCTGTGTGGACTGGGGGGATGGGGGCACCTGCTGGACAGGCAGCATGTGTCGGTGTCCCTGTTGTCGGTGCTGTATGCACACGTCCAACTGTTGCAAGAGTAGTCCGTGGACCAGTCCATAAGTGTACGCAGTCCGCTGCGGGCACAGTCTGGGCACGTAGGTTGGCCCGAGGTGCCGAGCTGCGTGTTGCGGCGAGCCGCACAGTACTGACAGCATTGGAATCGACACTGTAGGCAAGACCAGCGTCCTTGTAGAGGCGGGAGCGCATGCTCGTTTGTGCCTGGGTCGTCTGGGTGGGGTCGAGGGCGATCCCACAAGGGCCAGACGTCAGCAAACCAGGATTGGCCTGTAGTGCGGACAACCTCGGCGGGGAGGCGAGCGTCCTCGGCATGGCACTCGATCCACTGGTGCCCCATGTCCGCTGGTACCATGACCGTGCGCCAGGTGTCGTCCGCTTTGACGTGGACTTGGGTCGGTGCCCAGAGCTTAGTAGTGGTGTCGCCGTGGTCGTGGTGGAGGATGACCCAGCCGTCCCGCCCCGCGACCGCAGGGTTAATGCCGCGATGGCCCATGACTGTCGTCCCCCACGGTAAGTAGGCGCCGTCGTGGTGATCACCAGGGTCAAGCCAGACCTCGATGCCAGGGGCATTGACACGGGCCCGCACATCACGGGCGTGGTAGGCGAGGACGTGGTAGGCAGTCGGCTCCTCTTCCGTCTCAATGTGCTCCCACGTCCCGATGCCACTGTTGTCTGAGGTGGAGTTTCCGCCACTCTGTCGTGACGAACGAGAGGCGGATCGCCGTGGGCGGGCGTGGCCTCGGGCGAGGGCGGCGGCCGCGCTGATGAGGGAAGGCGTACGGCGTTCGTCGGCTCCTGATGTCGTCGATGAGCGGTCTGGACTGTGCGCCAGGGCTGTGCCTGACTTGTGAGTGCGCGGTGGGCCAGACGCGGCCCCAGGGCTGGAGCCGCTGGAGCGCGACTCGCGTGCGTCGGGATGCCCCCGCACGGGGACGGCTTGCAAGCCAGTGTACACCAGGTCGATGAGTGGTTTCGGGTCCAGCTGGAGCTTGCGAAGCGAGACGCGTGGGCGGGGCTGGTTAGGGTCGTCCCCGGTGGCTGCTTCAGTGTCGTAGTGCTGTTTGGCCCATACTCGCGCTGCCTCTGGCGAGTATAGTGCCTGCGGCGGTGGCCACGCTGCCGCGATGACTGGTCTGCGCCTGGTGCTAGCTTCCTGGTCGTGAGCTTCAGCCGCCTCACGGAGATCTGGATGATCGTAGCCAGCAATGTGAAGGGCGTGCGCACAGTCGCCCATGCCATAAGCGTGTGGTAGGGCACGGCACCTGGAAGCAGCTTCTGTGGGGGCGCACCAGTCCATGCGGATGAGGAGGCTCAGGACCCGAGGGTAAATGAGACGCGCTCCGTGGGCCTCTCC